AGAGGGCCTGGCGAGCTCCTGACGAAAGCCGCGTTTACTAAGTGGGGCCTTTCTCAAGGGAGATCTGGGCCTGGCCATGACGCCACGCAGTGCGTGCACAACTGGTGCGCCTGGACCTTTGCGGGTCTTGGAGAGGGAGTTGACGGCCAGGGTCAGGGAGAGCCATCAGCCGCAGCCCTGGGAGACGGCCCCGAGGGCACGTGACGCACTTCCCAGGGACAGCTGTCATAATGCTGGGGAGAACCCTGTCATGGTGACAGTTATAAACTCCACTCTCCGGAGATCTAAGAGTCGGCTCCGACTCAGTGGCCACAGACTTCACAGAGCTATCGACAATATGAAAACAGCCTGGGAAGAGGTGTTACTGATGTTTGGCTCCCCCAGGGGAGACACCGCTGGTGACCAGCGGCAGGCAAGTGCTTCATAAAGCCACACTTGGGAGGTGCCCACGCTGCAGACTCACGGGCGGCTGTCAATCGCGGCGAAGCCTCCGGGGGTCTCTGTTTGAAAGCCTCTCTTCTGTGAACATAAGAGAGTGTGACTTTGCACCCCCAAAGGAAGTGGGGTCACCCTGACCTGACTACTTACATAGAACCCATGGTTGTGATGACCTGCAGTAGACCCTGGCAGGCTCTGGGGTCAAGGGCAAGACTAGGAGAGGCAGATCCCAGGACGCAGGTCTCCCCCAGGCGCAAAGCCGGCCGCGGGACCTCAGAGGGCAGCTGCTGAGTCATTCGTGTTGCTGCTACAACGTCCCGAAAGAGGAGTGCTGACCCTCACAGCCTCACACCCCACCCTGGATCGCTGACGACACCCTGACAAACACCGCCAATGACGGGGGTGACCACTCCTCCCTGTTACGCCCAGCCCTCCCTGGGTCAACCCGCCTTCTGCAGGAGGAAGAGCCACTGGCTTGGGAATGTGAAGGGATCCCTCGCGTAGCTCTGACCCTTCCCCAGCTGTGTGGCCACAGAAGTGACTTCTCCCTTAGAAATTCAGCGTCCTCATCGGAAAACAGAAGAGTAACTACCCAGTACGGTTTGGTGGGCTGAGACATCGCCGTGCATACGCGAGGCCTGACCGTCTGTCTCTGTAGATGATCTAAACCAGTCTCAGCCTGTCATCTGTGGTAACATGACAGGTACGCGGGCCAGGGGGCAGGGCTGCTGCCCCCAGACTCACCCGCTGCCCTCTAACTAAAACGGGGCTTTTTATACATCCAGTCACTGTGTATCATTACAGCTTGCAAAACGGATTCTCCCAGCATGAAGACACTGTGTGTTAGTCCATAAAAGATATTCTCAGACACGTTATCTTCCAAGACAACCTTCCATTTTTGTGTCCCTTAAATGTTTTAGCTTCTTTCTCCCTTGATTCCCCTCCCCTCACCACCCCCCTAACATTAAAGAGTTTGGACAGCATTTTAAGAAGGCAAGAGGGGGACCAGCAGTTAGCATAATGGCTATGTCGCTGGACTCCCATGTGGTCAACCGCGGTTTGAGTCCCAGAGTTGGTGGCTTAAACTCACGCCGGGCATGTGTGCATGCATGCCCAAGATCCCGAGAGGAGAACGGAGGAGAAGGGATTGTGGTGTGGCCATCCGCCCTGGGGGGTGATTTCTTAATTTCTGTCTCTCTCTGTGTGGCGAGTGCACAAGCCCTATAACAAAAACCTCTCCAAAAAATGGCATGAGGATGGCTGAGTGACTACATAATAACGGCGCACATCTCGCTACGCAGTACTCCTTCAAGGTCCGGACACTGCCCTGGTACCTTATTAATAACAGCGCACATCTCCCTACGCAGTACTCCTTCAAGGTCCGGACACTGCCCTGGTACCTTATTAATAACAGTGCACATCGCCCTACGCAGTACTCCTTCAGGGTCCGGACACTACCCTGGTACCTTATTAGTAACAGTGCACATCTCCCTACGCAGTACTCCTTCAAGGTCCGGACACTACCTTGGTACCTTATTAGTAACAGTGCACATCTCCCTATGCAGTACTCCTTCAGGGTCCGGACACAACCCTGGTACCTTATTAATAACAGTGCTCATCTCACTATGCAGTACTCCTTCAAGGTCCGGACACTACCCTGGTACCTTATTAATAACAGTGCACATCTCCCTACGCAGTACTCCTTCAAGGTCCGGACACTACCCTGGTACCTTATTAATAACAGTGCACATCTCCCTACGCAGTACTCCTTCAAGGTCCGGACACTACCCTGGTACCTTATTAATAACAGTGCACATCTCCCTACGCAGTACTCCTTCAAGGTCCGGACACTACCCTGGTACCTTATTAATAACAGTGCACATCTCCCTACGCAGTACTCCTTCAAGGTCCGGACACTACCCTGGTACCTTATTAATAACAGTGCACATCTCCCTACGCAGTACTCCTTCAAGGTCCGGACACTACCCTGGTACCTTATTAATAACAGTGCACATCTCCCTACGCAGTACTCCTTCAAGGTCCGGACACTACCCTGGTACCTTATTAATAACAGTGCACATCTCCCTACGCAGTACTCCTTCAAGGTCCGGACACTACCCTGGTACCTTATTAATAACAGTGCACATCTCCCTACGCAGTACTCCTTCAAGGTCCGGACACTACCCTGGTACCTTATTAATAACAGTGCACATCTCCCTACGCAGTACTCCTTCAAGGTCCGGACACTACCCTGGTACCTTATTAATAACAGTGCACATCTCCCTACGCAGTACTCCTTCAAGGTCCGGACACTACCCTGGTACCTTATTAATAACAGTGCACATCTCCCTACGCAGTACTCCTTCAAGGTCCGGACACTACCCTGGTACCTTATTAATAACAGTGCACATCTCCCTACGCAGTACTCCTTCAAGGTCCGGACACTACCCGGGTACCTTATTAGTAACAGTGTTCATCTCGCTATGCAGGGTCTGGACACTACCCTGGTACCTTATTAATAACAGTGCACATCTCCCTACGCAGTACTCCTTCAAGGTCCAGACACTACCCTGGTACCTCATACCGACTACCTCATGGACCCTGGACCCTGCCCTGGGAGGTCGAGGAGGAGACTCAGGCACAGGGATGTGCAGTGGTCTGCACACCAGGCACCTGCACGTGCCACAGGGCAATCCGACTCCCAGCCCTACGTCAGCCAGGCCGAAGATGGGGCTTCTGGGGCTGGCGACGTTGTGCTTTTTGACCTGGGGGGTGTTTGCCACATACTTTATTCTTGGGCTTTCGGGGTCAGTTTTATTTTATTGAAAACCTTTTTTCCCTCTGTTCTGATGACAGGGAGAGACAGAGGTAGGTATTCCTGGCAGGTCTCCCTGCGTCGTCTCCTCTGGCCCAGCCTCATGATCAGCTAGGACCATAGGCCCACCTGGGCACAGGCAGCGTGTTCAGGTCAGCTTGGGGACAGAACCTGGACCTCCCGCGCGGCTTCCAGACCCCCACGCAGTGACGCCGCCTGGGCATCTCGGTGGCTGGGCCTATGAAACACTTTTAAGTGATAACACTAGTAGCTAACATTTTGCCATTTGATGCTTTGAGCGGAACTCGCGGGCACGTTTGCACACTACGCGTGCACAGCCACAGGCACAGAGCGAGGTTCTGGGAATCGGTGACCTCTGCTCCCGCTGCCGTGACAGTGGCTCACAAGCAGATGGAAACCACGTTTTCAACCTGTGGTAGGAGGCACTGGGACAGACAGGGAGGGTGCTGGGAAACATGTCTGCTCGCGCTCGCGTCCCCTGGCCCCGGTTTCAGTCCATGCTCTTTGCCACCTTTGTGTCTTCACTGCTCATCTCTGAGCCTGCCTCACCCCCTCTGCTTCCTCCTCCCTTCTCTGCTCAGCTCCGAACCTCACCGCTGGGTGGTCGGGACAGTCGTGATGCGTTTTTTCAGAGTACACCCCGTGACTGTTCTGACGGCCCCAGGCCCTCTCCCTGCCTCGCTCCTTCTCTCATTAAGTCTCTGCTCTCTCAGGGGCCCTTGGTAGATTTTCACTTTGATAGTGGAACAGTTCCCCCTTATTAAAACCTCGTACCCTGTGGAAGTGTCTAAAGCCATCCCCTGGCCGTCGGAGAAGCCGTGACGACTGTCCTGACAACTCCAGCCCCTCCTTACACACCTCTTCCTCCTCCCTCTCTGAGGACCAGTGCCAAAGTACCTGCCAGGTTTCTCTCGGCCCACGCCCCACACAGGGCGAGTCGTGCAGAGGGAGGTACTGGAGCATATGCTCGGGGACCTTGCAGTGCATGCAAAACGGTCCCCAGAGGCTTACCGCAGCCAGAAAGCTCTCCCCTCCGGCCGGGTCATCCCCAGAAGTCAGTCAGTCTTTATCAACTTACATTTACAGGAAGTTATAAATACGACTCAAGGATCTGATTCCTGGGCCGGCAGGTGCCGTGGAGGTTAGAGTGGCCGGATCCCACAGCCGCACCGTCTGAGTTCTGGACCTGGTGGCTTGAAAATGTGTGGGCGTGCATGCCGCAGGTCCAGAGGAGGATGGAGAAGGCGTGGCAGTGTGGCCGTCCCCTCCAGGGGTGATTCCTCACTTTCCTTTTCTATCTCTCTATCCTGGTGAGCACACTCACCCAACAAAAAAATAAATAAATAAATAAATAAATAAAAAAGAAAGAAAACCCTGATTACCGGGTAGAAATGATCCTGAATAATTCCCCCAGCTAAGGAGATGCACGGCGTGTCCAAGCTGTGGGTGAGCTGCTCCGGGTGCAGACCAGGTGGCGTGCCGGCCTGCCCCACCGGAGTGCCGTGCTCTCAGCCCTGTCCTCGCCACACTCGGGACGAGCGTCTCGGAATCCCACAGGGCTCCACTTCCCCGAGCCTTCGAGACCAAACTTACGGTGGGACCATCAGGACCAACCCTCGACCCCACGCCCAACCCAGGACGGAAGACCTGCTTCCCTTCCTGGGAGACGGCCCTGCCCGTACCTCAGGCAGACCCACCACTTCTGGGGGCTGGGGGCTGCACGTACCTGCTGGTGGGTTCCGGGGGCAGGCGGGGGTCCCTCCGTCCTGGCGGCTTCCTCTTCCTGCCCCTCACTCTCTTCAGAGCAGGAGTCAAAGGTATCGGCATAATACGCTTCAGCCACAAGAGGGTCTTCTGGGATCTCTGAGATCACAGCAGGAGGGATGGAGGTCCCCGGTCATTCACACGATCATGAGGCAGGGCCCCCACGTGTTCCCAGCGAGGCCACTTCATCTGAGCTAGCAGGTCTTGCCCAGGGTGCAGGGCTGAGTCTGAGCTCGCCTGCACCCCCGAGCGGTGCAGTAACTGCTCAGCTGGGGGAGGGGGGGCGGCAGAGCAAGGGACAGTTCCACCTGCAGCTCCTCCGTGAAGGTCGGCGGGAAAATGTGAAACAAGAAATACTGCAAAATCTTCACGTTCGTAGGCATGGACTCTTCTTAAAGATAAGGGCGTTTAAGAGCAAAGGCACGAGATGTCCCGGCCGACAGCCTACTCCACAGCAGAGGAGCTGGAGTGACCCACGCCAACTTTCAGGTACTCCTCTATTTATTTATGCTGAGAGAGAGTTCTGCTAAAGGACGCACTCACTCACTGGAGACAGAAAGCGAGAAATCACCCCCGGGGGATGGCCATGCCATGTTCCTTCTCCTCCATTCTCCTCTGGGGGTTTTGGGCACGCACGCACATGTGCCCCGCATGAGTTTCAAGCCACCGGGTCCAGGACTTGAACCACAATTAGACATGTGGGAGTCTAGTACCCAACCACCATACCACCTGCTGGCCTCTGGACATTTCTTTCTTTAAAAAAGTTAGTGGAGTCAGCAGGTGGCATGGTGGCTAAGATGTTGAGTTCCCAGATGGCACACCATGGTTCAAATCCTGGACCTGGCAGCTAGGTTCCTCACTTTCCTTCTCTCTCTCTATCCTCTCTCTCTCTCTCTCTCTCTCTCTCTCTCTGGTGAGTGCCTGTGCCCTACAGCAAAATTTTAAAATAACAATAATAGTAATAACAAAATTAAATAATTCTCCAAAACAAAGTGAGTCATCAGGCCAGACAACACAGAGAGGACACGCCAATGCCGCTGGTGAGATGGGAGACTGCGGCTTCTCTAACAGGCCGTAGAAGCTCTGCGATGGGACTCACCTCGGTGGATTGTACGTCCTCACACCTACACTCAGCGTCCATTACAAAAAAGAAAAACAAACAAAAACCCACGTGAGCTGATGCCGACAGGAACCGCCCAAGTCCCGAGGCCCAGTTATCAGTAACCGCAGTGAGTTGGTGCGTGCGTGACCACTACGCCGTCTGCTGGCCCTCAGCCACCTTAATAGCACTTCGCTTCTCTGCAGATCACGGACTTTGCACTGAGCACAACTGAGACGGGAAATTTGTATGTAAGAGCCACGTTTGACAGAATCGTTACTTCACTCACACTCGGGATCATGAGGGGATGCCAGCAGGAGATGGGCCTGAAAGCCCAAATCCAAGAGACCTCCAGTTCTGCCGACAGCCCCCGGGCAGAAGGGTGGACAGACCCACGGCTTCCACAGGGCGCTCGCCTCTTCCTTCTCTTCCTCTCCACGTCCTGAAGGTGTCTCTCGGACGTGACTGTCCAGGCTCCCCCTCACTTCTACCCCTCTCTGTCTCCCTGAACTGGCTCTGGTAGTCACTCTCTCTCTCTCATCCACTCCCTCACTCCCTCACTCATCCACTCACTTACTCTCTCTCTCTCTCACTCTCACTCATCTACTCACTCACTCTCACTTACTCTCACTCACTCTCTCAATCTCTCTGTCTCACTCTCTCTCTCTCTCACTCTCACACTCTCTCTCTCTCTCACTCACAGTTTACCCTTCTTGTTCTCCCTTTTTCTTTTTCTACTCATTCTACCCTGTCCCCACGGTTTGCTTTCAAACCTGACTATGACACGGTAAGCGATTATTTAGTGCCGGAGTACACGGAAACGTGTTTGTGTACACACGTAAATACCTCTAGAGCTGAACAAACATTCCATGCATCAAGATTTCTCCGACTGCCCGGGACGTGCTCTGGTGTCTTCCAGTCTATCGGATTATTCCTAAAATGGTAGCTGCAACTCACTAAACTGACTTCCCAACCCCAGTTTGAAAAACACCGATTTAGAATCAGAATGCTGGCTGTGGCATCTTTGAGACCTGTTTTTAATTTATTTTTAGTTTACTGTAGAGTGCATGCACTCACCAGAGAGAGATGGGAGAAGGGGGAGAGCTCAGCCCCTGCAGTCCTCTCTTCTTTAATTGTCCTCTTATCGGGGGCACAGGCGCCATGTGTGTTTCAAGCCCAGGGCCTCAGAGGTGAACCGAGCAGCCAGCCATGTGGGATCTGGGCAGGCTAAACTCCACGCCACCTGCTGGCCCGAGACCTCGTTTAGTAAGGCCCCGGCCACAGCTCCCAGCACCGACAGGATCTCAGCTTTCCCTCTGCAGCTGCTCATCTGAGAAAGGCGTACCAGCACCTCTCACGGGTCGGTGCGGACCTTGGTGAGACGGGTGCAAAGCACGGCGTGTGCAACGGGGCCGACTACCGTGTCCTGTAGGGGCTCTGCAGTTACACGGTCTCTGTCACAGGTGCCGACTGCTCCAGTGGAAAACAGCACACAGAGGAAGGGGCGTTGTTCTATACGTTCCACTCACAAAGGTCGGCCGAGGAGGCTGGCCCGGGCAGGATCCAGGGGTTTATAAAGGTGGGCCGTGGGGCCGGACCGTGGCTGGGTCCCAGGTGTTTATAAAGGCGGGCCGTGGGGCGGGACCGTGGGGGGGGGCGGGGGGGTTATAAAGGAGGGCTGGGGGGCGGGGCCGCGGTGGTG